TAAGGACTGAATGTCATATTCAATTTCTCATGGAAACCTTAAATCCTGCCTTTTTATAAGCTTAGTTTGGCTGCATCTGTGTGTTGATTTCCAGCATTCAATATTGGGAAGGGAGCAGTAGCCGGAGGAGCAGCACTTGGTCTTGGTGCACTGTGCTATTATGGCTTGGGACTTGCTAATGAAAGTGGAGCAATTGATCGTGCAATGTAAGTGCAACAGCTGTCATATGTCACAGCTTTGTCTGTTTATGCATAACACATTTTCACCCATCCACTATCTTGTTTGATCCACCTTCTGGAAAGGAACCTACATCTCCCAGATTTGTATCTGAATAATGATGTCCATATATTTTTTATATAATTATGTCCTTCAGATGATAGAAGGTAGATTGATATATGCAGAAGTTTTATTGAATCATCACTTTGCATATATGGATTCTGGTTTCTAATATGTACAAATTGTAGTTGCCAAAACATAATATGCTTCTTTTCCCTTCCAAACATATCTGAAATATTTGCTTTTCATTATATTGACACATGTTCAGTTGTGTTAGGCATTTTATTAGAAGGTATCACTGAATATGTTTATTTTCATCTACACTTATGTTGCAATAACAATAAAAGAATTGTGGTGATTAAGTTTAAAATTTAATTTGTGAAAATGAATTATAACTTATATAACTACATACAGACTTCAAATTAAATTTTATAAAATTAACATGTAAAGAAATTTCATTGAATATTTCTGAGAAATATTTATTTAATACATTTATAGTTTTTGTGTTTAAAAACTATTTATTTGATTTTGTATAACTAAATTGTCAAAGATTTTTATTTTCACTTTGACCTTTAAAAAATGGGGTATGCATCACATTTGTGCATATATGGTGTTTATTTAGTTCTGGGCAGTTGAAACTCTGTGGTCTTTGTATATGATGAAAGAATTTCTGTTTGTGGCAGGTTATGGCCAGATTATGTTCAGAAACGAATCAAGGACACATACATCTATTTTGGAGGTTCACTTGCTTTAACAGCAGTCACTGCTACAGCAGCATTTCGCTCACCAGCACTCATGCGATTTATGACAAAGTCCTCATTTCTAGTGAGTATTGTGATAAATTCCTGTTATTATGCATTCTTAGCATGATGTGTGTGAAATGAACACATGTGTGTCTGTCTGTCCAAGTTTCTTCTGCATACATTGATATGACTTTTTCCTTACACATTTCTGTTTTTCAGAGTTTGTCTTTTACTAATTGGTAAAATTTTCATGTAATTTATTAATGGATATCAGTTATTATTTGCGCTTTGCATTTATGTGCTTTGTTTTTTTATTTTTCTCCAGTCTTTGGCAGGAACATTGGCAGCTATGATTGGAACTGGCATGGTTGTACATAATATTCCATATAAGGAAGGTTTTGGTGCCAAGCAGCTTGCTTGGATAGCTCACACTGCTGTTTTGGGTGCAGTTGTTGCTCCATTGTGCTTCATAGGAGGTCCCCTGATTGTACGGGCTGCTTGGTGAGTTCATCTATTTATGGTTAAGAAGCCACAAAAGCTTATACAGGGAATAGCAAAGTTAAGCTCCTAGAATTCTGGGTCTTTGATACCAGATTTTAAAGGGAATGGTTGTTCTCCAGTAGTAAATTACCCGTGTGGGTGTGGTGAGGAATTAACTATAGTAACTCTGTAATAGAAAAGTGGGCTTTATGAATTCTGCCTGGAAATTCTTGTTTATTTTGCCTTTGCTATATGTTGTGATTTATATGAACAGTACATTTCTAGGGATATAGAGCTTTTTCATTTTTCTGCGTCATTAAAGAACAAGGTCAAACTTTGGGTGTCATGTAAGTCAGTGGGTTACACCAAGTATTCCAAATAACTTCCTAAGATATATGTAAGTTTCACAGCCTTAAAAAGTCTTAAGCTTGTCTTCATTTGGCATTTTTGTTTGGCAAACAGAAATGTTCACTGAACTTGAATTTCAGTGATGAAAATAATAACCATTTGTTTAAAATTTGGGCATATGAACTATTTAGTAAAATTTAAAATTGTATAATGTCAGAATTTATGTCAAGTGTGTCAGTAGCTCAGTTTTATTATCATTTTTGTTTGTATTTTGACTTGCCAACAAGTTTGGGTAGTGGATAGATTCTGTGTGTGTTGGAAAATGGAGAATGCCTGCAGAAAATTATGGTAATTTAAAGTATTTTTACCTTCCAGGTATACTGCTGGTGTGGTAGGTGGTCTCTCAGCTGTTGCTGTCTGTGCACCAAGTGAAAAGTTTCTCAGTATTGGTGGGCCATTGGCAATTGGTTTAGGGGTAGTTTTTGCATCTTCTCTTGGTAAGTTCTTATATAATAAATTAACCTGTACTAATTGTTATCACACTACTGAACAGGTTGGAGTGGCAGTATTTCTCCTAATGTTCATTCAGGACTGACTGGCAGTACAATTAAAAACCTCTGAATGAAAGTTCAGTGTCCTTTCTGAGGCTACCAGGTCCCTATATTTTGTATTGAAAGAAGTACTGTTTGAATTGCTCATAATTTCATGTTAATTCATGTGGTTAGCTTCCAGTGTGCTTTTCCACTACTGAATTCTTGTAATAGGAACAAATTAATTTCTTCCAGGGTCTATGTTTCTACCACCTACAACTGTCCTTGGAGCTGGTCTGTACTCCATTGCTATGTATGGTGGCCTCGTGTTGTTCTCTGGATTTCTTTTGTATGATACGCAGAGAATAATCCGTGCTGCTGAGATTTATCCAATGTATGCTTCACATCCATTTGACCCTGTTAATGCGTAAGTAGCTCTGTGTTTCAATATATGCATGAAAGGTATTGCCATGTTTATATTCACTAAAATTGCAAGTTGCTGGAATGGTATGTGACCAACAATATGTATTATTTCAGCAAAACTGTTTTGTCAAATAAAGTCCTCATAATTTTAATATAGCCTACTGCTGTAGTAATCATTTGTATTCATCTTCTTGTGGCGCTGTAGGAAGATATCAAAATATATTTTAAAGAAATATGTCCAGAAGGTGTGGAAACTTCAGAATTTTGTTTGTCTCCCATGAGTCTTACAGAAAGAATGATGGCTTTTGTCCTATTATATTAAAGTAGATTCCTTACATTAAAGTATTACAACATATTTGGAGATTGCTGGTAAGTAGCTGGTACTTGTTTTGATAGAAATTACTTAAAATTACAGACAATAGAAACAGAGGTGTACTTTGCCAAGGTAATGGCTTCAAGAGTGATTAATATGTTTTCTTTGTTTACAGGTCAATTTCCATCTACCTGGATACCATTAACATCTTCATTCGTATCGCATCAATTATGGCATCTGGCAACAGGAGGAAATGAACATATAATTATTTTTTAAGTATTTATGACTGCACTGCGAATTTAGAACATACTGTCTAAAATGTTATGTGACATTGTAATTCCAAATACATATTATTTAGATAACCAAATATTTTAGTGTGACAACATGAAGACTGAGAAACCTTTCCATTTCATAATGAATTAAACATTAGATTCATGGAAGTATTAATTGTGTACAGAATATCTTTTCTGCCATTGTACATTTCAGAAATATGTAAACACTACAAAATATAAATTCTGTAAAAACTGCATAATTACATTTTTATTTTAACTAACATGTGACTCTCTACTACATGTTAAGGATTTAAAAAAATCATCTGGTGATGTTTTCACCAGCTTGTATGACAAAGCCACCTCCTCTGTCCAATAGTAAGTACTCCTCTTGAAGATGTCTGTTTTCTGGGTTGTTGCTCCCTGTAGTCTGGTAGAAGTTTACCGGTGTTTCAGAAGTGCTTGCTGCCTCCAACATCATGTCCCATGGCAGTCTTCTTTGTCAGTAATAGTGTACTTTTTGGGGTGTTACGAAAGAACAGCAAAGTGGCCTCAAATATATTTCTTTTACTGGGCATGTGAATAATAATGTGATTGGCTTGGAGCAAATAACCCTTGTACATTGCACTGCTTTTTTCCATTGATCAGCTGGCATACTTTAATGGTGCAAACGACATTAATTGCTGAGTAAATCTGAAAAGAAATTAGGTGAAAATCAAGATACTTATACAGACTTCTTGTCATTGGTTTGAGGTGTTATTCTGAAACCTCTTGTTTACATTTATACAGATTTTGCAGTAGACAAAATCAAGTAGTATACTATAATGAATTGCTTTTCTGGGCTTAGCCACCAGCTAGGTATTATTAAAACTATGTTTCAGAAGTTGGTTCTGTTTCCATCTTTGGGTGAAATACGACTATGTAAAAGGTATGCCTTTCATCGTCGTCAGAAACCTTTGAACTTTGATTATATAATCAGTATGCTATGAATTGTGACATACTGTAAGCACACTGAAGTGCAAGTATCTGGGATGTATGCAAACAAGATTACTGTTAGAGGTAAGGATAATGTGATTGCCAGAAACTGTAAGTCTTCACAACACCTAGATTCCTTTCAAGGCATGTCAACAGCTTCAGAAGTGGAATATGTGATATGCTGCAATGTAACTGGTATTTTATGCTAAATTTTTTAACATTACTAACATGGGGTACTAAAACATTTGGATGACTTTTCTCCAGTGCTTATAACCAGAGGGAACCCTATCATATTACCTTGCTGTTCATATGTACTGTAGGATATGTAGCTGCAAATTGTGGAATATTTAAAAGGATGGAGTATCTTTGAGGATGTCGTTTGTGGAACGGACTAAGCTCTCAGAATTAGCCTAATTGCGCATGCGTGAATTATGTATATTTTACGAAGGCTGTTGATCGAAGAAAATTGAATCCGACTAACAAACACAGAAGTAGGAAGTTGGTGTTTTGAGGCTGTTTGTGAAAATGTGATTGGTAGATTACTTATTTTTACACAGATGGAAACACATTATATCTTCATGTCCATCATATGGTACGTATACAATATTTAATTCGAATGTTGTCGTTGCAGCTATCCAGTTTTGGCGTATTTAATTTGATTCTGACGTGCATACTTATCCGTTTTGTTAATATTTACATTTTTACTTGCCTTATATTTCCAATGTAAGGTTGCTCCTTACACTTTTCGTTTTCAGAGGTATTCCATTTTGTGGCAGTTAAAAAGGGTTAAGTGTACGAGTAAGACATTTAATTTTTCAAATGTTAGTGTTATTAATAAATTAAAATGAATCGAACATTGTAAAAGGTAAGTCCCGCATGTAATCTACATTACAATCCCCATGCCTCACATTGAAAGTCAGAAATGAGACTTCCAAGAGTTTCCGGGACTTTTGAATTAATGTGGAGTGTCCGTATCGGCTTTGCCGGTTGACTATTTTTTCTCGGATTAAAAGCTATGTTGAATGATTCGTTAAAATGTTACTGAATTTTGACATTCTTTTGAACGTGATTTTTTAATTACAAAAATAAAAACTAGTCGTGAATAATTATGAAGTGAAACTTGTTATATCCCTCGTTTTGCAGTACTGTAGTTGAGGTCGTTAATTTAGGTGTTCTCTACAGTTGCATATGTTAAGAAATGGATGACTTCCCCGTACGAGAATTGGGACTTTTTTCATTGTCACTGTGTTCGGAATAGCTTTGGTATCTACCCAGGAATCTTTCATCATGAGTGTAAAGCTGATTGTTTACTGTGGTAAAGGATATGTAGCCTTGTTCACTGTATCTTTAAAGCACAGGGCAACTTTGACTTTATTATCTGTAATGGAGAGTTATATTTGTTGTTCTTGCATGCAATAAAACATTGGTGCTAGCATTCACATAAAAATAAATGTTACCATTATAAGTAATGTGCTGCCTCATAACCTAATCTGATTTAGTAAAGAAAACTAAAATTAGTGGTGGGTTTATTTCTAGTAAATGAATACTTGATCACAACTTTAATCAGTTAAATCAGAGGTCCATATGATGCTTCAATATTTGCTGTTCACGGTTGGTCTTCCATTTCACTGGCTGCTATGTAGCCCCAGACAGTATGGAAACTATTATTTTAAGATTATGTGCAGTTTTCAGGGGTGCAAAAGAATCCTCTACCATGGATGTCAATATAATTGTTTTTTTTATAAAACTTGTGTTAACAGTATATCACTGGAAGCTGTCCCATATTGATACTTTCTTATTAAATTAAATTAAATCCGTGGCGTAACAGCTCCAGAGAGCCAAAGCCGACTAGCTGGCTGCTGGCCTCACGTTCACATGCCTAGCAGAGGTGAACGATCATCCAACCAGATATAGGGTGACATGTGGTCAGCACGACGAGCCCCCAGCCATTGTAGCTTTCCTGACCGGATTACGCTACTTATTGTAGCTCCCCAATTTCCTCACGATGCTGAGTTGGCACTGGTCCCATACGCTGGTCGAAAGCTCATGAGAAAATTTCTTCTCCCCCCAGACTCGAACCAGCGCGCATTCCGTATCGCCAGTCCAAAGCATGATGCCTCAGACCATGTGGCTACGGCGTGGGACATACTTTCTTATTGCATTTAGTAAATCCATTAACTAGTTGGGCTATTAAAATGTATTTAAATGAAGTATCTACTTCCATGGAACAGGATTCTTCTTGAGAAGCTGGTAGTCTATCAGTCACTCAAGCAGTTCCAAATTTTTTTGTTGAATTCAAAGGTTTATTACCATTTTTAAGGAAGTCTGCTACCAGTGCCAAACTTGAGCCACATGAAACTAGTCCACACTCCCCCACAATATATCCTTTAGATGCATTTTGTTACTAGTCTCCTTTGTGCCCATGTCTTTTGAGTTGTCTTCTACCTTCAGCCAGAATAGAGTCTACTGGTAGGCTCTTGTGAACACAGTAATGAACCTTTGGACTCTGTAAGATGTGAGTGGTCTCTGAATGTTGAACTTTTGTTCACAACTGACGTGGCTTGTTGCCAGAAATTTTATTGAACCTTTTGATTCCATAAAAGGTGGAGAATTCTTTGATGAGCAAGGCACTGGGGTCTAGTGGTACGCCTTTACGAATGAAAGCTATTCTGTATGTATATCAATGGGAAAAGTGTGTAAATAACATTTACGGTGTAGCTGGTGGGAAATGAAACATTATCAGTAAATACAGGAAAGAAAATTCATGTCCACAGGAAGTAGAATTCAAACCTTTATTACATTTCCTTAATTACAGGCATGACTCAATTACTCATGCTCACTTCCTTCATTTCTCCAGCCTCTATGAAGCTTAATATGCATACAGGATGTTATTTCTCTTTTTATCAATTGCCTGTGATAATAGTTGAAAGTTTTTTAATTTGTCAGCCTGTGTGTTTTCTATTCAATGACCATCTTTAAAGCTGTATGACAATCCTTCATCACCTGTCTGCAGTTGCTAATTCAACATGTTTACTATTACTTTTCTTATGTACAGGCTACCTGGTGAGGTACTGTGCATGGTGACAAGGAACCTACTGCATGAGGTTAACATAAAATAAATAAATCAAAATGTTTGTACCAAATCTTGCATGCAGTTTTAAGTTTAGGTGTGTAATTTTTGTTTGCAGAAAATTTCTGAGAATGGCGTGATTGAGCTGCCTCAGAAGGCATGACCAAGCGTTTTGAGTTCAGCTGGCATATCCCAGTGCCAGAGCCACTGTTACAAGGGTGTTATTTTGAACGGTGGACAGAGGAAAAGGAAAATATAGAATACGAATCAAAGTGTCTCTTTAGGGTGGATGAATATGGATTTTTCATCTACTGGAAGAGTGAGGCTCGTGTAAGTAACCATATACAAGTCTTGATTGACAAGCAGAATGATGGGAACCCTGTTTGTCATGGAATCCCATAGCACAGGGGTTCTCAACCTTTTTCACTGGTTTACCACTAATTCTAATTTATCACATTAAATGTACCACTAACCAAATGCGTTCAGGGAAAACTGTTATTTATGTTAATATTAACTTTAGATTTTCTTAATTAGTTCACGTACCACCAGTGGTACGTGTACCATAGGTTGAGAAATGCTGCCCTAGCACATAGTTATTCAGTTGTCAATTTTGTGAGAACAGTGATGTCATTCAGTTATTAATGATGAATGATGGCACAGTTATGGTTGCTTTTATGGAGGTGAATACATATACTGAAATTTTGTCAACAGATCTTTTCTAAATCATAAGTTATCTTTGATTTTACAATTACCTCCAACAAACTGCTGTAACATGGACAAACCAAGCATGTGAATAGATGCTTCCAGAACTCTAGAAACACTTTATAGTATTCTGGAAATATGAGCTTCAATTTCCTACACAGAGGCCAGCTATCATGACAGTTTTTTTTAGGTTTTCTCAGTACCTTCACAAAAATACTAGGGATATACATTAAATAGATCATTCTTCAAACCTTCGTCAATATTTGTTGATGGCACGGTGCATAGGCATATGGACATTGATTGCAGTGTTAGTAAAACTGAGTTCTCTCTGCTTTTGTAATACTTTGTGTGATGCTTTGATTCAGTTTGTCAGTATTTAATAATTGATCTTGAGGTAAATTTTTCAGGATGGTGATGTCATTGAGCTGTGTCAAGTAAGCGACATTCGTGCAGGTGGACTTCCAAAGGTGTGTCTATTATCCTTTATAACTCTGAAGATCTAATAATGTAGACTGAACTTACTGTAGCATCCTTCACCACTGAAAAATAGTTATTTACATTGTGGTGGAGTTGAAGCTGTCTGATGACTCTTCTCCGTAGGTTTTCGCGGCTGGAGTTCAATATATAACTTTGGCTGTTGGATGAGAGTTGCATCAAATATTTGGTGTTAACCAACATTTCAGTAAACATTGCAGATGCCAAAATGTTGGTTGACATCATATATTCCATGATGCTCTCACCCAAAAGCTGAAGTCATACATGTATGATGACTGTTTTGCAGAATGAGAAGCTGAATAACACCCTGATGAAGTTGGGAGACAATGTGGAAGAACGGTCACTCACCATTTGCAGTGGAACTGACTACATCAACATTAATTATCAGCATGTAGTTTGTCCAGATGTAGAGACTGCAAAGGTATGTGTATGCTTGTTTTTGTTGTACTTGTTAATAAAATAACATTTTGAAAATATTAAATAAATTAAACAGTGTGATTGGTAAAGGTAGTTTGTTTGTAAAAACTTTTATCTGTAGTGACATACAATACTTCACTGCTCACAGCTCTGTAAAGAGAGTCCCAGGCATGTCGTTGATATGTCCTTCAAACGTGCTTTAGATTGTTCCAAAGAATGTGTCCAGTTCTGAGGCTTTATCAAGACCCATGCTGGAATACCATTTGCTGACTATCCATAATTATTTATTCGTATCCCCAGAGGTCTCTGTTTTGTGGTGAAGTATTATTGGTATATACCCAAACCCCAAGCTGGAGGACCATTCCATATTGACTGTCTGCAACTGCTAATTAGATATATTCACAGCTACCTTTCAGACATGGAGGTTGTGTTCATGCTTCACTATATCATGATGTGGTTATAAGAGCCTGACTCAATGAGTGTAAATAGTGCTCATTTTGGCCTACTTTCCATTCATAAGAGAAAAAATGGGCTTATGAGATCAGTATACTTTGTGTGTGTGATTATTTGCATGTGTGTTTTTTCTGAGTTTGTACATCTGTGTGTGCCTCTCCAACTTCTGAACCAGTTGACAGATGTCAGACAAGGTTTTACGGTGGTGACGATATTTATGTTCTGGGTTTTGGCACCATGTAGGCTGATCAGTAGGTGTCAACATTTAAAGAAACCCAGAAGAACTTTATCAGTTGACAGATATTTATGAAACTTGCTATGAATATTATGTTCTATTGGATGCCTGCCTCTGTCATTTTAATTTCCTACAATCAGTAATGGCATACTTGAGGTGGAAGTGACACTGGCACCTTTTAAAGTAGAGTCCTGTTGTATGGTAATATATATTCAAAAATATGCAATAGTTTTTGTAGGGTATAAAACAGCATGGTAGTCATGCAGAACTTCTTGTTAGCTTCAATTTGATAGCAGTAAATAATGAACCATTGAAGCAGGCAAGTGAAATTTGGAGTGGGGATATCATAAATATACCTATAAATTACACATGAAATGTTGTTTGTAAGTTAACAGTTACAAGCATGGCGATGGTGAAACTTTGACATTAGGTCTGACAGATGTTACATAGACTCTATGTAGAAGTAATAAGTTATTGCTAAAAATATAACATGAACATTTGTAATTGCAAGCAATAGTAAGAAAATGTAACTGGAGTGGGATTTGACTATGTAACCATATGTGTATATATCGGTGGATCGTTCCAGACATTGAATCACAAACCTTTAGAGAATCATTGAATTTTTTTCCCATTCTCATCTCATGAAATTTACATTTTTGAGATTACATGAACTGCGGGATTACGGTGCTAGTGTTGTCTAAATATATTGTTTTGTCCTGCAGGCCTGGTTACAGGGTATCAGGAAAATCACGCACAATGTAAAGGCAAATAATGTATGCCCCATGACGTGCTTGAAGAAGCAGTAAGTTTGAACATCTGTTGTTCAGCAATGTAGAGCATGTTGATGTGTCATGTCATTAATTTTAGTTGTGTGTGGGTGTTACTGTTTTTGTTGCATGGATTGCCCGCCTGCTATGTGTTGTTACGATTGGTAGACATGGCAGGAAGGTTTACGGATAGTCACACATAACAACAAGATAAGCAACATCTGTGCTCGCACTACACTCATGAAACAGTAAGTTAAATATTAATACTGGTACCTGCTTATGTATAAACACAAATTCACATCAAAAATTTCAGCAAGAAAGATTACATTTATATTATAACTTTATTATAGTGATAAAACTACAAGTAAGTAGAAAATTAAGGGCAGTTTTATTATAACCTTGGAAAATAATCAGATGACAGTTAGACATACTATGTATTCCGCTTTGCAGCCATTTGATCCAACAATCCACAGTCTGCCTGAGTTTATCAGAATAAAATGTCAGTTTTTAAGCCATTCTTGCTTTGATTGCACCTATCATGTTCTTAATCATGATGAGCAGCACATAACTTGTCTGAGCTGCTTCAGTTCGGTTATGGCAAAAATATCGCCTTAGAAACAACCTACAAATTCTAGTGATAAGCATGCACAAAATGCTGCCTCTTCACAGAGTGATCTTTCGATGAATATGCATTTGGTGGTCAAGAATTAAATTTCATTTTGTTCAGTTAATGTTATTATTATACGTTGCACTGTAGTATTTGTAATTTAATAGAATAGTTTTGAAATTAAATGGCATTGCTGTGAACTGTGTGTATGTTTATGTCCGAGATTATTTTGTAATTCTCTGTGTATTAATAACCAGGCTGAGCTGTCATATGTCACTCATAGGTAAGAAGTAACATTATGAGAAATCATATGGAAAATATTATACTTAGTTGGAATTATGAAAAATATTCTAGAACAGTTTAACTTTTGGTTACTTTTAAGAAATTTGTGTATATTAATGTTGTCTGAGTTAATTTTATTTTCTATAAAGCAAATATTCTTCTACAGCTGGATGCGCCTAGGATTCCTTACTGACCCAAAGGGCAAAGTACCTGTTAAGGTTGTGGCAAGAACTTTTGCATCAGGCAAGACAGAGAAATTGGTGTATCAGTGTTTGTCAGATCTTGGGCTTCCCAGTGGAAAGGTAAAAGAAAAGAAGTAGGAAAGCATCATTATATTAATATTAGTAGAGGAGAATGTTTGAAGTGAAAGATACATTTTTATCAGATTAAACAGTTTTAATTGTAAAATTTATTGATTACTTTATTATTTGTCATTCAGTGTTGTTTGCTTATGTTCCAAGTTGTGAATGTAAAATGTCTTGTTTCTTAATTTGCATTAGTTCATCATGTGTTTTGAAATGAAGAATCATTTATTATTAATTTGATTTGGTTTTATTTACTCATTTTTATCATTTGAGGCTAATACTGGGAAGGATGCAGACTGTGAAAGATTTAGAATATTGTCATTATCAACTGATAAACAGCAAAGCATGTGTGCACATTTCTACAAGTATGATACTTTCAGCATACAGGTGTGTTTGCTTTTCACATTCCGTGCATTTTTCATCAAGAATATAAAAACTGAACAAAAAGGATAGACCATGAATGTGTCTTATATACAAGAAATTTAATGAGATAATTTGAAGAATTTTATCATTGACAGTCTGTAAATTGCATTTTACTGTGATGGTCATTGTAAACAGTTGTAACTGTTGTATGTAATTTTATATTAATTTTAAAAGGTGTAATGGAATTTGGCTTACAGATAGTATGATGACCCATTGAAAATTATTTAAATTACCAAAACTAGTTGAGCTATTAATTGTAAAGGAATTCTGTTGCTTTGAATGGTTTTCCATGTTACATGAACATAAGTTCTATGGTATGGAAATTAGAATAAAGACTGGAATATATCTTGTTACAGAACGATGGAATAGAACCTGAAGACTTCACTTTTGATAAGTTCTATGACCTGTATCATAAGATCTGTCCAAGAAATGATATAGAGGAGCTCTTCCAGTCCATGTGAGTCAGTGATTGTTTAATATGTCTGTAGCTGGATGTATTTCCTTTTCATTCCAGTATACAGATTTATGCTGTCCTTGAAGGAGAAAATACTTCTTTACGTTATAAAAATATTCTAGGATGCATTGTACACTGGTGACAATGGTGGAAGTACAGTGTTGTGTTACAGAGCAATACTGTTGTGTTGTGATTTGTGTGCCTCACTCTGAAAACAGGCAAAGTATGACCAATGGATCACATTCAAGCACTGAAAGGATTTTGATTTCCCTTCAGGGAATTTATATTTATTTATCAATCACTCCATAAAACTGGTCAGATACTCCATCAGTGATTTTCACTAAGCAGTTTGTGTCCTTTTGGAAATTTTCTGGTCGAAGGTTCACATTTTGCACTTTGTTGCTTATGACACTGCAGAGCTGATACAAATAGGTTGATATATCTGTAAGTGTTCAAATGAATGTATTGTTTGTCATTTGTGCAGTACACAGGGTAAAACAGAGACGATCAGTGTGGACCAGTTCATCTTATTTCTAAATGAAAAGCAGAGAGATCCACGATTGAATGAAATATTGTACCCATTGTACGATGAGAAAAGGGCTGCAGAAATCATCACTACTTATGAACAGGATGAGCAAGCTCGCACTGAACGTGAGTAGTTCTGTGACTAATGCTGAAATGAAATGCTTCATATTTTCTTGCTGTCAGTAAAGAATCTTAAAACACCTTATTTATTTCTAAATCCAGTTTAAACCATTTGATTAAATGAATTAATTTCCTTGATGCCACTGATGATGACCTCTTGAGGTTGAAATGCGTATGGCAATAGTGTCTTTTTATAGTGTTAATAGTTGTTTGTTTACTTATTTTATATTGTCAGAAAAGATATTTAAGTTTTTCTACTCATTATTAACTCACTCCATGGAGCAGAGTCTTTTAAGACTGCTCTTCATGAGAGCCCAATGCTGGATCCTATCCTGAGACACTTCAATATGATCCACATACTCTTGCCCTCTTGTTGTTATGGTCAGTTTTAATATTTTCCTACTCACAGACTTCTTAATTTATCTCTTCCCTTTATGTTTTCTGACCAGAATTTTGCATGTGTATTTCATCTGCAAAGTGTACACATGCATGTGTGTATACACATTCTGCCCATTTCATCCTTTTTGAGTTTTTTCTGTAATAATATTTTATGAATATTCCAAGTTATTAAGCTCCTCATTTTTGTAATTTTCTCTATCCTCATGTTACTTTCTTTGTCTCATCAAATATTCTTGTTAGCATTTTATTATAAAACACCCTCAGTCTGTGTTCTTTCCTTTGGAGTGAGAGATCTTATTTACTGCCCTAAAAAAAGGGACAGACAGAATTATATAGTTTTGTATATTTTAGTCTTTATGTTTGAAACAGGAAGATAAAATTTTGAACTGATTTTGATCTGCTGCTCACTGCCAGTAAAATCCAGCTAGGCTCTAATGAAGGGAAGTTCATATTGTTCATATCTGCCATCTTTTCAGTGCTGCCAGCATTATTTTCAGATAAATTTCCTTTATTTTTTTTTAATTTTCCACATACATTAATGAATTTGTTGCTACAAAATTACAGGGAAACTGACAAAGGATGGTTTGATTCGCTACCTAATGTCTGATGAAAATGCACCTGTATTTCTGGATCGCCTTGACATTTACATGGATATGGACCAACCTTTATCTCACTATTACATCAACAGTTCCCATAATACCTACTTATCTGGCCGCCAGTTTGGTGGAAAGTCTTCCGTTGAGATGTATCGCCAGGTTCTTCTGGCAGGCTGCAGGTTTTGTCTTTTTTAAATTCATTTTATATTTTATAAGCTTTCTTTTGTTACTCGACTTCATCACATAACTCATAAAAAATGTTTACTGAAATGTCATTAAAATCTTGGGTGCTTGATTTATGTGAGGATTTACAAAAATTACTTTTTGTAGGGAATATGATTTCTGCAGTCTACATATTTGGCTGTGAAAGTGGAAGATTTTATACAAGAAATTGTAGAAGTCCAACACTGAGACACTTGGTAACAAAAGATAGCTTAGATGTTTTTATTTAAATTCTTCATGTGTTTGTTACACTTTGTTATGCTTATTCTTTAAATGCTGTATGTGTAATGTTTCCATCAAACTAAAACATTCGTCATTAAGTTCACAGACAAGTTTCTAATCTCTGTCTTCATGTTTCTTTGGCATGGTGTAGATCATGTAGCAAACAGTAGAGGCCAGTTCTTGCCATATTGTGCCAGATCTATCTTCTAGCTCGCACCTCATACTATGATTTTATCCCTGCTGCTATTCCTTCTGTAATTTGGTAATGACATATTTTCATTGTTTTCACCTTTCATTTGCAAGCATGATGTGCATGAAATGTATGAGAATTGTTTTCTTAATTTCATGACAATTTAGTGTGTAACAAAATATGGTATTTACAAAGAGAGGTAAAGAATTGCTTTCACATATAGCCTGTTACTTCTTCTCATACCTAACATTTACTTAATACTTCTAATGAAATCAAGTGTCATGTAAACTCTGGATAGGCCATAGAAATACATTTTCTATTTACAGGTGTGTGGAGCTTGACTGCTGGGATGGTTTGGGAAAAGATGAAGAACCAATCATCACTCATGGGAAGGCAATGTGTACAGACATAGTCTTCAAGGTACATCTCCACAAAATTAACTCCATGGAGCACAGTCCTTGCTGTCAAACCTGATAATCATTCAGCTTGCCAATTCTCTGCTTTCTATGGAATATGGAGATTCATTACTATATTCAATAGAGCCCACTACTAGGCCTTATCCGGAGTCAGCTGAATTTAATCTCCACAAGTATTGTTCTCCCATCTGGGTTTGCATTTACCAGATAGTTTTCTATCTGAAAATGCGTGATAAGTGTTTCAGTCAGAAATGCAGAATACTAATTTTGTATAATAAAGTGGGTGGGGGTAAATATTATATCATAAGTGCTGAACAGCATGATTGAGTGAAGTTTCAGGCTATGGGTTACACATTGTGTGTAATTATTGTTGCAGTTTATCCATCATTGAAGGGTTTCTAAACCTGAATGTTGCAGAATTTGGCCTAACAAAGTAAGCTTCTGTCCTTCCACAGGTTACCCAAAGCCAGAGATAGAACCAGCTTCTGAAATGTTGCGTTTTAAAAACACTAAGACAGGATAAAATCGAGAAGATATATGTACACATGGTTGCGTGGTTAGCATTTCTCCTTCATAATTAGAAGTTTCTGACCTCAGATTTCAGCCCACAGGCTGAATAAAACCAGACCTTCCTACCGTATCTCCCTAAGATCCCTTTTCATATTATAATTCCATCTGTGCTTAGGTCCTGTGTAATATTTTCTAATGTGGCTGGGATTTTTTCCTGTGGTGGTTTCTTTTTAGCCCCCTGGCCAGTCTGAAATATGGAGAACCATGCGTTTTATAGTAACAATATTCGATAATTGCAGGATGTGATTTATGCACTTCGTGACACAGCATTTGTGACATCAGACTTCCCAGTCATACTTTCATTTGAGAACCACTGCTGCAAGGGACAACAGTACAAGCTCGCCAAATATTGCAATGACATCCTTGGAGACCTGTTGTTGAAAGAACCCCTGCCTGAAAGTCCTGTAAGTAATTTCACAGTATTAATATATATATATATAAATTCTTTTGTCCATCAGTCTGTCTGTCTGTCTTTTTGCTTTCCTGGTACCCATCGTCAGGAGGCTGGGTGGGCCTCAGAGCTCGTCTGGACGCAGAGGTCGGAGGAAAAATCCTCCGTCAGGGATCAAACCCCGGTCATCAAGTCTGTAGTCACTGTACTGAATGAGCTACTAGCTCCTCCCAGATTATACTGTATATTAAATGTAACCTAATCATGGATAATATCCAACATAATTATTATGTAACGTACCTAAGTTCTATACATTTATTCTTCACTGTTGACTTGTATAGACTGAGTTGTGTTGTTTGGTGAATAGCAGTTTGTGTCTACATTAAATTATTGGGAGCTTTCTGAACATGATTATGGTCTGCACAGCTGGAGCCAGGTGTTCCACTGCCTTCTCCCAACCAGCTCAAGCGTAAGATTCTCATAAAAAATAAGCGTCTGAAATCAGATGTGGAGAAAGCAGAATTGGACCTGTTCATGCAGGGGCAGTTTGTTATTGAGGATGAGGAAAAAGAAGATGCATCTGCTCCGATGATGGAAAAGAAAGAGGTAAGTCAGTTTCCCACTGTATAATTCTTGTAACTTGTCATCTACGAATCTATCTATGAATGAGATAGTGATAGATGACTAGTTCTTAGGAATACACTTTTATTTACTGGTGGAAAAATCTTGGTTCCTAAGTTAAGAGATAAATGACATTGAATTATACATATCCTTTACTAAATTAAGGTTAAAAGTCAAATAGAATAATATGGGTTTGGACGCATGAAAACCTGCTCATGAAATTAAATTGAATTATAGAATTGTTATTCTTTTTTTCTATCCCCCCTGCCTTCTTTTTTGCTGTGGGTTGAGATTGCATTTCTTTGGAATTGTGGCCACTAATGGGGCCCATTGTCCATCCCCCAGATGATACAGTGAAAAACCCAACAACTCTGAGAAAAACCTGTCTCAGTGCCACTTTGTTCACCACAAATCCCACGTGGACTGACCTGGGTGTGAACCCTGGCTTCTGCAGTTAGAAGCTAATGATCAGCCACGCAACCTATGACATGGCCGTCGCATTTCCTTACTGGTTACTGTTCACTGTAGGAGCCAGCTGAAGGTGCAGATGGTGTCGTTATACCGGAAGATGTTCCAGTACAAATACCGTATACAGGCTCCACAACCAATGTTCATCCATGGCTCTCATCAATGGTTAACTATGCTCAACCAATCAAGTTCCAAGGCTTTGATGTTGCAGAACGTGAGTTCACTGCATATAATCAAGTATATATGAAATCCTTGCATACCACCTGTTTGAGTGATTAGTGCAATTAAGTGGTTAGCCCTGCAGCTTTGTTTTTGAGGGATCCTGATTTTGAATGAGTCTTAAGGAATTGGAATATATGAGTTTGGATTAGATTTATGTGATTCAGGATATGAGTTAGCAGTAGGCTCCTCATAAACGTGGTAATGATACTTTAGGTTCAATAGAAGTTGGGGGAATGGGGAACATCAAACTGAGCATCTCTAAGCTTCTCATAAAGGGATCTGCTGTATGGGGTTGGGTGGATGGACGGTCGGTCATTTGGTTGGATGGGTCAGTCAATGAAAGTCTTCTTTATGCTGTAGATTATTAAATTCCAGTTTTTGTCCTCAGTAGGAATTTTTTACTGCTTACATGTGTGTACAGTTTTTTTTTATTTTATCATTTTTCAGAAAAAAATATCCATCACAACATGTCTTCTTTTGCGGAGACAGCTGGTCTAGGTTACCTCAAGTCTCAAGCAATTGAATTTGTCAATTACAACAAGCGACAGATGTCTAGGATCTACCCCAGAGGCACGAGAGCTGATTCTTCTAACTATATGCCTCAGGTGGGCTGGCCACATCTCATGTTTTTCAGAAATTGGAGCTGAAGAATAACCATTTTGAATTATCTTCTGGAAAATGTAAAAAAATTAGAAACTTACAAACCTGGCATGCTATAATTATTGGTTTCCTGCTCACTGGCTGGCTAGTGTGACAGCCAGAGAAGGAAGAAACTGTACTCCCATTGCCACAACTGAAGTATTGTCTTGACAAATTACGGGGAACCCACTAAATGTGTGACTGTGATCGCTAGGCTCTGGCCTGTTTTATTCTAAAACTCCTTAGTATTTCCATGGTTATGTTTTTTTATTGTAAGGCTATATTCATATATTTGTTCAGGAATTGGAAATATTTTAAAACAAATGTGCCAAGAAAACTTCTTGGGCAATTTTGATAATTTAAATTTTATTTCTCTGCTGATGGCCTTGTCAATGCTGCCATTCAATTTGGCATTTGATTTCAGGTGTTCTGGAATGCTGGCTGCCAGATGGTGTCACTGAACTTCCAGACACCTGACCTGCCCATGCAGTTGAATCAAGGGAAATTTGAATACAATGGTAACTGTGGGTACTTGCTGAAGCCAGACTTCATGAGGCGGGCTGATCGTAGTTTTGATCCATTTGCAGAATCACCTGTTGATGGAGTCATTGCTGCCCAGTGTTCCGTGCAGGTCGTGTACTTGTCCAATTTATATTGAAAAATTCTTACAGTATTTCTTATTTATCTTCCACACTCCACAGATCAGGATTAAGCCTGTTCAGACTTTGTAGCCATCTGCTGAAGTCTATATTCTTTTGGCTGGTAATGAATTGCCCATTCTATTCAGGTGGGTTAAACTTTTTGCTCTGTAATCAGCATTTCATTTACTGAATAAATAAGTAGTTACACTTTTTATTGTTGTTGTTATAGTGTCATTAAATAATGGATGTGTGGTACAGTCTGAAACTGGTTAAATCGGATCCTCACTCCTATGTAAAATTGTTTAATCTCTACTTTTCATGACAAACATAATTCATAATATTTTCTCCTGACATTTCAGTTGGTAAGAGACTTACATTATGGAAAATGATTATTGTTAAGACTGAAAGAATGGCTTTATGCAGGTGATTGCAGGTCAGTTCTTGTCTGACAAGAAAGTGGGCACCTATGTGGAAGTAGATATGTATGGGCTTCCAACTGACACTATCAGACGGGAGTTCCGCACACGTATGGTTCCATACAATGGACTAAATCCAGTATATAATGAGGAGGCATTTTTCTTCAGGAAGGTTTGTAATGTTTCTCCACACTTGTATTCCAAAGTTTTCTTTATGTGATCATTCCTCAGTCTGTTTTTTTTATCTCCCTGTTATAGTGGCTGTGTGCTTTCTGCGGTCTGAGAATTGCATTATCACACTCACTGTAAGGCCTTCAAGTTATTTATGCTGATAAATGTTAAAAAAGTATACTGCTTTTATTAGAAAATTGTATTATGTAAATAGTAAAGGATGCCGCACAACATACTTGGTTTTATGAGTACATGAAACAGGTTTGGATCTGGTGTCACCGTTTCCTGTATTATTAATTTTAGAAAACAGTTTTTGATTTAAGATATTCATTTTAGGGAGTCAGGTACAGGGATTTGAGAACATGATGAAGAACCTTTCATTTCCATAAAAGGTAGGGAATTTCTTAATTAGCTGTGTGACAACGAACTTCTCAGGAAGGACTTTGCTTCTTGTAACTAGTTCGTTAATCACACATGATATTTCAGAATTCTGAAATACATCATACCAACAGGAACTGATTGCGTGTTTGGTAATGAACCAAACTGTCAGATTGAACCTCCAGCTTGAAAAGCTGTTGCATCTCACGACCTTTAAGTTTATTCTGTCTGTCTGTATCATCAGGGTTGCTGATAAATGTACTGCTGTCAGGTTGTTCTTCCAGATTTGGCTGTTCTAAGATTTGGTGTTTATGAGGAAAATGGAAAGCTGCTTGGCCAGCGTATTCTCCCACTGGATGGCCTGCAGGCAGGCTATAGACACATTTCTCTGAGGACTGAGGCGAACTTTCCCATGTCACTGCCCATGTTGTTCTGCAATATTGAGCTGAAGATATATGTGCCTGATGGATTTGAAGGTAGGGTAGACGTAGTTTTATACTTACACTGTTGAGGTTTATGTGGTTTTATTGTAACATCTGTAAATAGTTGGTAAATAAATTCCATTTAGCATCATTCAGAGCACTAACTGCAACTGTGGATTGATTCATTTCCCTGTGTGCATTATTTTGGCATATGTTACTGTTTCTAAGGACACATTCTTGGCAAATAAAAAACTACCTACAGTTTCGGATGCCGTCTCTGGCATCGCAGAATATAGGACCTAAAATCTGTATTTCCCCCAGCAATTTGTTTAAGGAAGCATTTTCACATGCTTGTCGTTTTTAAAACGGGCACTTTATAGTTCTTCAATTCACCACCATGTCCAAATGGTGCCATTGTTGACTGTCATCTTACTGCTTATTTCCACTTGTTCAATGGCGTAAGTTGTTGACTTTTACACATCTTTCAGATGATGATGATACCACCCCACTTTTTACAGGTTTTTTATTTATCATCAAAAACAAACTGTGTATTATAGCTAAAGCATACCTCAGCATATATTTTTTTATTTTATTGGTATTTAAATTTCTCTACAAGAAGATTCATAGTTTTAAAATCTGAAAGGCGTAGGTCCCGTGCTTTTCAGGTAAAGGGTTTGGCACTGTCCATAAGTCAGTTAATCTGCTTGAATATATTTTCATGCAGTGAAGTTTTGTTGTGCTTACAGATTTCATGGCTGCTTTGTCAGATCCCAGAGCATTCATTTCAGCCCAGGAGAAGAGAAATCAACAGTTGAAAGCCATGGGTATAGAAGAGACAGACATTAAAGATCCGCTGTTGGGTGTCGATGGGAATTCTACAGCAGGGGCTGGAGGAAAGAAAGGCAGTAAGACAGGTGGTGCAAAAGGCGCCACTACAGGTACCAAGCTGGAGGAAGAGAAGAAAGGTACACTGTTGTACATTACCATTACCATCCTTAAAAATTAATTTTCCTAGTTATGAATTACAGGCTTTATACAAGCATCACTCTACCAGAATTGTGTAATTGTATGCTTTCAGAGGATCTTAAGTTTGATTCGATCACTGCGGAATCACTTAGAACAGAAAAAGGCTTCCAGAAGACGGCACGTAAGCAGCAAAAAGAATTGGATGCCACGAAGAAACGCCAGCTGAAGGAGCAAGTGGCCATGCAGAAGCAACAGTGCACAGCCATTGAGAAACTCATCAAAGGAAAGAAGTTAATATCTGCTTGTGTCATTGTGACGTAGAGATTATGTTAAATTCTAAAATCTAGGAACGGGGGATTGTCATTAGGGATACCACAGGATACAGCGAACACTGGGATGTACAAATGTGTGTGCAGCAGAGATTGATAGTATATGTGATACTGAATATAATTTTGTTAATTTAGAACTTTCTAACAATTATATAATAATTTTTTGATATATTATGTTTAATTATATTATTCATAAATAGTGGCAAGCATTTATAATATTTGCAAACAAGTTCATTTCCAGGGGCCGGAGAGAACGGCGATAAACCTCAATCGTGTCTTTGGATTCTTTTGAGGATGAAGCAGTATATGAACCTCAGAGTATATAGAGCCACATTTTGTATATCTTATGTTATAAATAAACCTCCAATGTTTTAATCTGGGTACACGTGTCAGGATTTGGGCAGTCTGTCATGAAGAGAAAATTAAATTAATCAGTTTGTGATAACAGTAGAATGTAGAGAGACTGATGCTTGTTGTAAGATATGTTTACATTTGTCGTGCAGTAAGAACGAGTTGGTGTCGGACCCGGCAGTCCGCAAACTGGTCGCAGAGCAGACAATGCAGTGGAGTGACATGGTCGAGCGTCATCGCAAGGAAGAGTGGGAGTTGATCAGGCAGCATCTGACTGACCAGCAAGAAATTTTGAAGAAGCTTATGGAGGCTTCACATGCTGCTCAAATGAAACAGCTGGAAGCTAAGCATGATCGGTAAGGAGACAAAGTTAAGTGTAACTATGGACACTTTTTTCTATTTTAACATTTGTAACTGTGTCTTGTGTTCTTGGTACTAGAAGTGTGCATTCAGATGCGCATATTCAAAGGCAAAAGCTGCAAGTGACACTTGAATTTTATGTCACACTAGGGAGATGAGGGAAATGAATTCTCGGCAAGCAAAGATTTCTGTGGAGACGATGAGGGAAGTAGCTAATGACAAGACACTGAGGACAAAAGGAGACAAAGATCGTCGACTGAAGGAGAAGAAACAGAACAATACCAAGAAATTCACAGATGAACGCAGGTTTGCTCAAAAGAAGAATGACAGAGAAATAGAGAAGTTGAAGGCAAAACATGACAAAGAAATGGAAAATCTTGTAAAGGATGTGCAGAATGTGAGTACTTTACACAAAAACACTAACTTGTTTTACAAGGCTGATGAAAGTTGTTTGTTTTACAGAAAAATCAATCGAATGACGAAATCTGAACAGACTCGTAAAGCCTACTTTCCTGTTCTAGACTTTGCCCTACAAATCTCTTTTTTTTTTTAAATGTTATATTTAGGCGATGTACGTTTATCAACCAATAATATAATGCATTTAGCTCGGGTGTTAACTCATTGGGTTTGTATGTAATTGGTCATAGATGATGGTGATGTTGGCAAATATTTGGAAGTTGTGATGGGTGAAATACATGTTTTAATAAAACTTGCCATAATTACCAGTGCTATTAGTATGGTGCAGACTGTGATGGTTGTGCAAGGAGTGAGAAGGATGCTAGGTAGAGACAGAACTTCACATGGCTTAGAATGCATTTGTTGTGACAGAAGAGTTCCTATATCTTCCATTTTTCAGGGTATTTTCTCTGAAAATTTTGTTCAAATTGTTGAGTGCGTTAGTTACCTGTAAACAATAATCATGCCCATTCCGAGACTCATACATTAACAGTTTGTTGGATTCTCATTGCCGTTCCTTGTAAGGCCACTGTTAAAAACTTGCATTCTGGTGCACCTAAGGTTTCTGTAATTTTTTAAATTATTATTAGCAAGGGATAAGCCCCGCCTTATTTATGTAGTTATTGTAGATTCTGTAAACTCTTGGAACTTCCAGTGGCATGCCACACTAAGGCAATGTCCTACGTAAGCGATAACAAGTGAGCTACCGGAGCTGCATAAGCAGCATGGGGTGTCATATGAAGCTGTGAATCGATTGTCGTGTCCTACCTGAGAGACCGCAATAGAAGCACACGGCCTTCCTGTGCATGCACCTTCCATGTACTGCACGGTCAGAGCTTTCTTGCGCACGTGCCTTACTGGCTAGCACAGCAACTCGCTTGAAAATATCAAAATATATGATCTCGGACTTTGGCCGCTTCGCTGGAACCTAGGACAGCGCCACACGAACAGCCAGTTTGATATTTCTGCTTCACCCACGCAACTCGCATTTAATCGCTCACGTAGGACAGCGTGTAAAACAACATGCATATATCTGTAATAAGGCGTAAAAAGACTGTTCACAAACTGTGTGATACAAAGGAAGACAGGTTATGGTTTTAGTAATACTGATAAAATGCTGGTTAATTGTCTAAATGTACCCTAGTTATTACCCGACATGCACTGCAATCTTTAAATCATTCAGGTAAGAAGGTTAGTTTAGAAGTTATGATGAGTTTTAAGTTTTTCGTAAAGCGTGTCGGTGAGCTACAGGTAGGATCTGCAGCCAAGTAGCCAGTCCTTGGAATGTTTAACGTGGCCGTTTTATTTGCAGCAAATTGAGATGAACAACAACGAAGAACGAGAGTATCAGCTTGCAGCCAAGAAGGAATTTTTTGCTTGAACTCTTGATACCAACAGAACCAGCCAAAACCTTGTCATATTTATGTTAAGAGCTATTTTATGACTTGTAACATTTATATAATTCTAGTCAGATTGATATTTTATCACTCGCTCAGAGTGCTATAATTCAGCTGTGTAGTAAGGTAACAGCGCATCTCAACTTCGAAGTCATGTGATAAACCAGTAAACGTAGGTCTCCGCGCTGTCAGAGGTATGACGACTATAGCTCACCAGTTTTTAAATTATTTGTTGATCTGTATGGTGATAATCGTGCATTGTGTAATTTTATCTTAAAAAGTAGAACTATTGTTACTTATTAATGTATATATGTATGCCAGCTACGAAGGGTACAAAAAGATAATGTAAAACCAAATATTGTTGTTATAGAATTGATAAGGTATCTGTCCCTAATTGTTGAGATATGCATACATTTAAATTATGACAGATAAATAAGTATGCAGATCGACTATATTCTAATGTTGGGTACATATGTTCACCCACGCCCATTTACGTTACATATAAAATTTCCATTAATGTCTAAATTGCGGTATGTTCTTGCCTAAAAAATTAGAATAGAAGTAAGTATCTCGTTATCAGCATTGCATAATGTATGCAGATCATAATAGTCTTCTCAGAATGAGCTGTTATCTACAGTAGTATTATTTTCGTTAGTAATGTACTTCTGACAAGTGCCAAAAATTTATATAGGGAAATTCTGGGAATTAGTATGTAAGTTTTCAAGAATAATATACCCAAAAGTTATACATGAGTACAAAAAGATCTGGTCTGTTTTTTCCAGACTTTCTAACCAAAGGGAATTAATATTTAATCAGTAAAATGTTACCAAATATGAACATGAGATTTTACACAAGTAACGTACACACACGCAACTTAAAGACAGCCAAAGAGTAAACGGTGTGTGAAATTATAAATTAAAGTGTATGAAGTTTTGTGAGGTTGGCATGATGAAACAAGTTTGTGGTATATGCTGAATCATTGTGATGCTTACCATATTACCAATCCAAAACCTTTGCCGTATTGTCTGTACTTTCGGCTTTATTACCACATCTTTAGTTATAATGTATACTACCTGATGGCCGTGGAACTTCCGCTCAGGATGCATTTTAGTTACATGAACGTTTTGTACACACGGCTTTTTCTGTGTTGAAATGGATTCCAGAGCCATCGTATAGAATAGTGTGGTAAAAGCCGGATTGTACTCAAGTAACTGAATAATTTATTCTTTACTTCATTGAGTGATTGATTGAAATTCTCCTCATGTCTAATATCCGTGGCATGAGAATATGTCGGGGAGGTGCATGTAAGGCTACATACATGTTTTCTGCTTTGCTCTCGTATCCATGCGAGAGGAGGCCGCGTATGCTGGCAAGGAGAAAAATGTGTCCATACTGGGTTCCAAATCCCGATCACTCGACGTGTAGGTAGTACCATACTGATTAAGCTAATCTGGTTCATTAACTGACTGATTCTTTCAGGATTTATGATTTGTTTTGATGGTCGTTGGGTAATACAGATTAAGGATGGAAATAATCTTCTAAGATTGTTCCAGAACAATTTTTCTCATAAAAAGTGCTGGGTTTTTTTATTGTACAGGACAAGTAAGCTAACTTAGTCCAATTATCTTTTACAGTGAAATAAGTTGCTGTGTTAGAATTGTCTTTGCAAGTTTTAGAAGCTTATATATATATGCATTTGTTTTGAATTGAAAAAAATTAACATTTGCTTATCTGAAATCTGACAAATGTGACATTCCGTCGTATATACTGCGATGTAAGCATTTCATACTTGAACTAAAATTTAAGTTTGCCCCATGGCCGACAGGCCCATCGTGATTATTTGTGAAACAACTTATTGAATCTCTTGAAGTTGATAATGTACGAAATTGTGAGCAGTCTGGCTATAACGCTATAATGCATGTGGTTCGGAGTTTGTTCTGAAAACTCTTGACCCTTGAACTGCACTTTCTTGCCCATTGAAGAGCGTTGTAGTGACGAGTATTTGTGTCAGCATGTGCGCGCTCGTGTCGGAGCGATCGAGCACAAGCGTGATTAAATGCGAACATTCCGAGTTTCTAGTGATGAAGGCTTCTGTTGCATTTTGTTGTCTTGATTACTGTCCAATTTTAGAAATATTGACAGTTATTAAGTAAATGTAAAGTATATTCTAAATAGCCTGAAGGGCTCAGATATCGTTTGTCTGCGTAGTGCTTAATTTTATCTGAAAGTTTTATTTTACGTTACAGCCAAAGCGCTTGTCTGTACTAATAATACTTAGAATATTTGTTAATGCATTATATCTCTCCGACTACAACAGTCAGGAACCAAGTATTGTAATGCCCCATTGAAGAAACATTTTTTGTGTAATGATTGTAGAAAATTTATTGAATATTTTTTGTAGTACAGGAAACAGCCTTGAGTATATTAAACATTTTCCGTGCAGTAATTTATCTGTACTTAGATTAATGTACTGATAAAAAATGTCATAGCTACCAAGTTCTTGTTGTTAAGTCGAAGGATGCGTTTAATTGGAATTCCTAATTTTCAGTAAAGACATTTTTAGTGGTGGCTTCTAATAGAGTAATTAATAGAATTGAACATGTGTGAATGTAAGTTGTAGCCCCCCCTCCCCTCCCCCAGAGGCATTCAGAAGGAAAATGGTGCAATATATTATAGAAAACACGGTATGCATGGCTTTACTAGTTGAATGATTCCTCCGTACTTTGTTTATAAATGGCTGCATAAAAGGAGAAGCAATTTTATGGAAACTTTGAATACCTCATTGAAAACAAGGAGACGGTGGAGCAGATGGTCTATTTATCACTGTTGCCAATTCTTTGAGCTGGAAAATATTTTGGTGTTACCAGTACCTTACTATTTTTGTTGTAATAACTTCTGCGCAGACAAAAATATAGATGGAGCGCAAGAGTGACAGTGGATTTCGCTCGCGACTCTCGAGCAGATCGAGCGGGAATATTTTGCAGTTTACCCTTCGGACTCCGAAATGGGTTCATTTATGTTACATGTACTTAAACATGATAATTACTTTGGATCTGTCATAAGCTTTCCAAAGGGTAATGTTTCCAAAATGTAATTGTTTGGAAAAACTTTAGGTGATGGATGACACACGATCATTAAAAGCATTTAGATTATGTGTGCTTGTTACAGAGTAGTGAAATTAAGTGACCTTGAAACGTGTCTTCAGTAATTAATAGTGTGATAGGAAAATCTGAAGGTTCAATACCACTCTCTTAAAACCTGCCTTTGGGCATGACCTTGAGCCAGTTTTATCCATTTCCCATTTTCATGAAATATTTCTCAGAGAGTCAGATTAATGTTATCCTTCCATCTTCTGAGTGGTCGTTATCTGAGCTTTTCACATCAAAATTCTGTATCAAAAGTCCTTATTGCATAATGTTTAACTGCGTACTTCATTCTTTTAAGTCAAAATATGTTCATTAGCCATTTGATTTCAAACATTTGTAATTTATGTCCTCTTGAAGTGAAGCCATGTTTTATTCCTATTAAAAATACAGGATCGTGACTACATTGAAACAGTTGGGTCTTAATACGCAGTCACTTCTCCGCTTTATTTCCTCGTTTATTTACCAGATACAGAAAGAATGCATCACTGACGGTGTGAGCCTGTACCATGTCTTGATTAGTGTAGTCAAGAGTTGTTTCTAGTTCTGTTTAGAATAAATACCACTAGATGTCTTTCAGAACCTGTAAAAAAAATTCACACTTCTTGGAGATGAAAGATTTTTTCTCTTTCTTTTGTGTTGTATTTAATTATGTAGTGAATGAATTCCGGTAACTTATTCCAAAGTAAAGGTATTTTGGTTGTTTGGGGGTGTACATTCTTTTCAACAAACATAGTTGTTACAATATCCCAAAATGTCATGAAAAATATTCAAGATATGTGTGTGAGAAATGTTAAGATGTTATTGGAAAAGTTTGTAACCAAAATAACGGATTTGTACAGGGTTTTATCAGTCAGTGTTTTACCTTTTTTTGTTCTGAAATGCGGTTAGTAGTGAACAGATTCCTGGTATGTGCATTTGTTTACATGTCATTAAATGGACGCAGAATAAATGCTTAAAATATGCCATTGTCTTCTTTGATGGTTCATTGTGAGAAAAACTAATATTATTTGTTCCTTTTTGTATAACACGTAACACAATCCAAAGATTTAGCACTGGGCCTACATGATTTAGGTTGGTCGGTTCCTTTTGATGGACCCAATTTAATGGGTACTTATAATATTTTCACTTGAGGTTGGAAATGGATCTATTTTCTGAAATGTATTTATTTAATAATACTAGACTGGACATATTTTAAATACAAATGTAAAATACGTGTTTCACCTGTGAGGAAAAAGAATTATCATGTTTTACATGAACTCAATCCATTTTCAAGAAATTTGGTCACAGTTACAAATCTATGGAAGTGACAGTTACTCATAAAACTATATTTAAAAGTAATTCCATGTGTAACACTTCACTGGTGTAACCATAAACGATGAGTTCTATTGGGTCGATTGTTGTGGTGGAAATTTAATATTTACGTTATGCTGGAGTTCATGTCACAGCACGATGTTGCCTCGTGTGTTTGTTACCTTAGATCCGTTGTGTGATTTTGCGCAACAACGTCATAAATACGTCGTCATATACCGAAGCAGCTACAGTATATGAAGTTTAAATTAGAATTTACATACTGGCTTGCTTAATTAGATGCGCATTGACGTCGAATTAAGAACAACTTTAGCACAGGGAATATAATATAGTCTGTATAAGCGGCATGTCTTTGTTGAGTGCTAATATTTAATTAATCGACACCCATTTCAATATGGCTTTGTACAATAGCACCTTGGTGTTCACTGTACTGGAAGGTTGGATACATGATACGCTATACGAACAGACGTCAGTATTATTTGTGTTTTATTATTGCATTATAATTAAATGTGAATGGCTGTTCATCCGGAATGAGAACTTGGAATAATTCGCCACGTAAAAACATTGCAGCACATATTATAGGCAGTGAAAATAATACATCCTTGATTGTTATTCTTACATGTATTGTAATGTATGCAACGTGGATATGTAACTTCGTGTCGTTTGACATCTACAATTGCGTTTGCATGCTTTGCTTTGCTATTGAAATGTGATGCCTTTGGTATTCGTCATCCTGTCAAGACAATAAGTGTACTTACGTACAGAACCCCTTGGGAAATTTATAAAACAAATTCATGACATGTGTTCCGTTTATTAGATCGTAATACTGTCCCGTTCCAAAGCATTTTGTGAAATTTGTATTTAGGGTTTTGGAGTCTCCCATACGCCTAAACCCCAAGCGTGAAGAGACCATATCTCACCGGCTGTCCTCGGCAGCATATTTGCCATAGTATTTTTTAGGATGACTTATAACCTCGAAGCTTTAGGATCACCCCTGTTTGGCTATCCGAGACGTTATCGCTCATACACTTCGTAACGCGTTCGTTAGCCCCATCAGCCTCTTTAGTAGGCAGCACGCTGTTCTGACTACAATCCAACGTATTCATTCTAGAAGAATTCCAGCCATCCGATCAGATGATGTAAGAAGATGTTACAGGTGAAGATATGCCTTATAACCCGTGCGACATTTTGTTCCAGAACGATTGGCAAATTTCTGCTACATTACAGCAGACCTGCTAGATATTATTTACGCATCGGTTAATTTCCTAACCAACTAACGGAGTCCTGAGGAGAATAACTTGACATAAGAGAAAAGAAGTAACAGGAGGAAGGAAAGAGACCACTTAAAAGACCTAAGGGTAGATGGGATGCCCATATTAAAATGGGTCTTAAATTGATAGGTTGTGGTGTGAATAGGATTTATCTGGCGTAGGATAAGGCTTTTGTGAACATGGTAACGAACCTTTTGATTTCGTAGTTGCTGGGAATGTAATCGATTACATTAGCATCTATTTGTGACTTCATTTACAGAGTTTGTTTTCCTGGGCATTATTTTACAAGCATGACTCCTAGTTATTCCACTTCGCATTTCAATTTTTGTTACCTTGAGAAAGAAAACAAGCAGTGTCTCCATACGGGTTTGTACAAGCACTCTTCCTAATGAATTATAGGTTATTTTCGGCACATCTGTAGCACATCTCACAGTCAACGTTTTCTGTCCTACTGATAGCAAGTCACCTGCAGGATCTCATGTTCCCCTCCGGCAGGTTTCGCTTTCTCCCGAGACCTTTTGCAAGCAACGCCACGTAAGAAAACACTTGCTAATTTTTACTACAACAGCGAGTATAAATGAAAGAAATGTTCAAAGAAAGTTACAGGGTTAGAATGGGATGAAGTTGAATCATTTGACTGCAACACCACCAGGTAACTTCACCTTGAAATGACAGGTGAAGGTACATATTTGCAATAAGGCTAGTACACGTGGAAGCCAAAACCTTGTTACTAGCGTTGTAGTCGGCAGTAAGCAGTCTCCGTTTGTGTTGCTTGGTGGCCTTTCAATACAATTGTGACGCAGTTTGCTTTGTATTTACGCGGACTATGCTCATCGTGGGAAGCCTGAACTCTAGGTAATGCTGTTTGCAAACTTTCTTTTGGAATTGTAGCCGTAGCAAACGAGTTAATTTTCGTTTGACAGTATCAGTTGCAAGATTGTTTTATACACAATTGAGGTTAAGCCACAGAGCCTTCGGATTATGCAGCCTGTTATATTACCTTGTACACACGCGGAATCTGTTGAAATTTGGCATGGAAACCTGCTCTGAAAGGCCAGGACGAATTTAAATTTAGGTTAATGTCATTGTTATATTATCCCTGATTTAAATAAAACCTAATACACTTTGTGAAAATGACTAGCGGAACGAAAAGTGGTGTAGGCCAATGTGTGGAATCCGTTAAGACACACAGCCTTTGTTTGAAATACTTTCGGGGCGATGAACATTTAACATGGTACATGGAAATATGCATTCTATTGGTTCAATGTGGCGTGCCCTGTTTATCGTACAATTAGCTTCAAAACAATCTGTTTGTGCCTGTAGTAAATTAACATCAAACACAGTTTATATTTTATTTGTGGTTTATATAACCACTGTCAGTAGTTCCGAATTACAAGGGTCAAATGATAGGATAATTAATGAATTGGAAAGGGACTAATTAAAGGCACTAACTGTAATAGATTTTTTCTCAACCAGTATATGACGTGCTTAATGTAGTACAAGGGAGAACTTTATCTTTTATTTCTGAATTTAACTGGAGGGGTTGAGGAAAACTACGAAAGACATCAGTCAGTATAACTAGTCTTCTGGCCGAGATTTAAACCCGGGACCTCTCTAATATGAAGTAGTGTTCTCCACTCAGTCGCTGTGTTTGGTCAAGGCTAGTCGGTGTATAAAATCGCGAAGAACACATGTGGAAAACATGTGTAGGCTTACTCTAAAACTGGTGCACACATAGAAGAAAATATTTCGTCATATAACAGTCGGACTAAATTTTGTGTATAATGTACGACGCGTGGAAGAAAGCCTTGCAAAATTTTGGTTTGGAAGTCTGAACGGAAGAGGCCAGAAACTGATATGAAGGAGGGGAACGGATTGAACTGGCTAAGGGTAGGATTAATTCATTGCAGGGGGAGCTTTTGTGGATATTGTAATGATTATTTATCTTTCATGGAAATGAATTTCTTGTCCAGTTTTTCAAGTTAGATCGAATATATTGAAGTCAGTTTTATAAAATCAAATTTTTGGCCGTATTTATAAATTTACGTTAAATTATTAACGGTCTGTCGTAGAATAACATAAAATGTTAATATATCGTTACATTTATCTAGTCATGTTAAAGCTTCCATGAAATGTTGATCATTATTATTACGTATTATGCAATTAACTAAGTCCGTTGAAGAATCCAAAATCAGTGTGTATGCTAATTCGTACTCCAAACTGAATTACTTCGCCCCTTTAGGCGTGTTTCTACGTGGGCTTAATTAAAACGGCATTGTACGTAAAGTACACCCTGGACGAAGACTTACAAATTCCACGGCGGTCAACTACACTTTCTGTTTCCTCGGAATGAACAGAATTCGATGGCTCTAGGACACGATCCCAGTTGACGTCATCATAAAACATTTCTGTAAGATACCAAATGTTGAATTGTTAGCACTCGTACTTTGTATTCCGAAGTATCAGGGTTCGAATTTATCCTGTCGTAACATTTTGTGTTTTCCTCGGCCCTTCCAGGTATATGCTGGTATAATGTCATAAAATTGGCCACAACCTCTTGTTCTAATATCTTTTCCATGTCGTTATTTATAAAGTCCCCGGGTTCTTATGAGGACTGCTCATTGTTAGTCTATTATAATGAGAAATAATAAACTAAATAGAGGCGAAGATACGAAAAACCTTTCGATTTTTGAAAGAGGAGCTACAGTTTTCTGAGTTACAACGAGAAGCAACGACGAACCAACGCATATTCCAACGGCCCCGGTATTTGATACGGGCAGGGTATCATTGTCTGTTTCGTGCGACTGCGCAGTGATCACAACAGAGATAACGGTTTAATTTTAATTTTCAGTCCAAAACAGAATGAAATTTGCATGAATACTTGTATAGAGGTCAAGTTGAGATCGTTTGCAGATACAACAGGCAGAAACATCTAAATTGTGAATTGATTATAAAGTTTGTGTTTTTTGTGACCTTATGAAACACAGTTAAGTCGGTTGTGCGTCGTTACAAGCATAAATTAAACACAAATATTTACTTGCGACGTAATCTCGAACGCAGACGGACACAAGCCGGCCTTCAGACGGGCAGATGTTCATGAGCAGAGACGGACGTGCATGACCTGTATCAAGGCATTACCCTGGCATTCGCTTGGTCGACCAGCCGAGATTCGAACCGAGTACGTCCCAAATACAAGTCTGGAGAACGTTTTCGCTGCACTAACCTGTTGCACATGAAGCCCAGTCAAGGGACAGAGATGTTGACGTAGTATTCGATTAGTTGCCCATTTCTAATTGACTGAAGATCGCTGTCATCATAGAAGTTAACGACATTTCAGAGGTTCTTGCGATATTGGAGGCCTTTATGATTTGAAACTCCGATAAA